GCTGAACAAAAATGTGCTTGAATATTTTCGGAGTTGAGGAGCTCCACAAGTGGCTGAGGGGGAAGCCTGTGCCAACCCGCGTGAGGAGCTTGCGAGGCCGGGCCAGGCGCCCGCTCACAGAGCCCTCTGCTCCCACCATCACACAGACCGCTGCAGCAACAACGGCAGAGGAAAACACAGCTGGAAGGTTTTCATACTTATCTGTCTTTACATTCTGAGGAATGTTGAAACTTTTTAACTTAAATCAAGAGACAGCTGTGTGGGTCGCTGGTGCATGTATCGCATTGAAAATTACGTCGCGGCAGTTGTGTGTGGTGTTGCTATGACGACCAGCTACAGTGAGGGGTACTATTACTGCGTTCCAGGCAAGCGGGAAGCTTCCAGTCTACAATATGAAGCGAATGCGGAAGTTCCTGAAACCTGCAATCTATTGAAAATCCAGCGGGGGGCGACTCTTCTCGTTGCAAAAAGAAGTCCGGCTCCATTAGAAATAATGGGAAAATGACCCGATTTCTCAGCTGAATAATTACCCCAGTAAACACTTTCCTGATGAGTTTATGGCCTCAGTCGGTAGTTTCAAGTCTTCTTCAATACAAAATGATGTTTCGGGATTATCTATGATTGACAAGTCGTTACCATGGCGACCTGTCAATCAGGCTAGAGCTGACTCGTACCCTCGACACTGTAAATTTAACCTGCGCCGTTGAAAACGCTTATTAGGAGTCGGCTGTTCACTTTCTCTGGTGAGTCCATTTAGTTTTAAGACTGTGGTTTGCTAGACAAAATTATCAGCCCTGTTAAAATGACAGTTAACGTGAATTACAGGTGCAGGAAGCTAGCTAGCTCCGCACACGGCCGTTAGCTCTGCGTCACTTCCGGGCACTTCCTGGTTGCAAAAACTCGATATTGCGGCACCCTATCGGCCAAACTCGAGGCTTCAAAATGGCAGTCCACAAACCAACGGTTGACGTCACAATGACTACGTCCATTTCTTATATACAGTCTATGGTTCCAGGCAACTCGGAACTGGGAAATTTCCGACCTCCAACTAGAGAAACTACCCTGGAACGCCACCTGAACTTGGAGAAAAAATAGCTACCCCGACTTCACGAGTAGCAGCTGAATTACGTCACAAAACAATGTCAGCGGCCATGGAAGCACACACTGTAAATGGTAAACCATAAACTAAAAAGCAACAAAAAGTATATTTGCATGTATTTAAATTAAAATAATTGTTAAAAATGCCAAAACATTAGGAAGTGTAACCTACAACATTGACTTGAGGGTTGCCAACTGATGTAGCTAGAGGAGTACACAGAACTAGTAAAGTATAGGCTATTTATGTCAGTTGTTGCAGTTAACTGCCATCCTTTTAATTAACACCTAAAACACTGCTGAGGGTGCAACTGTGTGTACACTTTGTCAAGGTTTTCGTTTACTTTCGGCATCATGCATCACCATGCACCTGGAACGCACTGATGTCGGAAGTTTCAACTGGGAAATATCCCAGTTCCAACTGGTCTCGAACGCGGCACATCTCTGGGTATTATCTGCAATGGAAAACGGAGTACGGCCAAACCGAGTGGAGGCGAGTGGAGGCGAGTTGAGCTGGTACTGGTAATGGAAAAACAGCATTTTAGCATGTATATTTGGCCATTGTTTCCAGATTAAGTCATCAGGTTGAATGTGAAAATATTTAGGCTGAAAAGGGGAGAGAACGAAAGGCTATCTGAAAGGAAGACTTAAGTTATTTTGTATAAGTTCTCCATTCTTCTCTCTCTCCCTTCAGGGACAATGACTGGAGTGGCGATATCAGTCCATTGAGTTGACTTCAGTCTGCAGCAACAAAGCCAACGCTGTTACACAAGATTTCCATTTTCCATTTTCCAACACCCATTTTCTTAACCTTCAACACAAACACAAACTGTGCCAAAAAGAATACAAACATTTTAGCTATGTTGTCTTACATGCTTAGCATCATTATCATTCCATGCCTTTACTTACTGTAATACATAAGCAGTTTATGCTACGTATATCAATATGTGCACATTTTAATTTTAATCTCTAATATATTTAAAGATGTTAATGTGTTTGGTGCATATCCCCTCCTACAGCTTTTATGCTACCAATGTATGTATGTATGTATGTATTCATATGTAGACATAGTATTTATAACATATACAATACAACCTTAGTGATTTCAAAATGGTCACTGTGGGAGTTAAATAATGCATTAAGTCTATAGGGCCCAATTTACCATCATTGGATTTATAGCCCTCAGTCATTGTATACATTACCAACTAGACTCAAATTTCAAAATGTTGTGTTACACACTGATCAGCTAAGCATAAGCTCATTATGCTGACATGTACAGTGTGTACGTTATTATGCGTTAAATCCTAAATTAATGTTAAGCTTAAGAGCCAGTACATACAATACTGTACATTAAAAACAATGAGTTTTCATATGATGTAATATTAATCACCCGATCATAACGTTAATTATAACACTGCCACAAAAATCATGCCAATCAGCATCAAAACTTTGAGCAATCGCACACACTTTTCTAGTTTGCTTTCTCATTTCTAACTTCTACTCAGAAGAATTTGGACATCTGTATGTATTTTATTTGTTGATGAACTCCTTCAAACCTGAGAGAAGTTCATACTGTGTCTCAACACTATTTTGCATCCTTAAAAAATCCCAAGACTTTTTTTTAATTAACTCTCTCATTTGTTGCAAGCATATAATGACTGCATTTCCAACTTTAAAAGATATTTTCTGAGATTTCTCTATGTTTACACTTGACTGGAAAGTGACCTTTACAGTGTGTGTGCTCACTATGTAAACCATATTCTACTGTTTTTATTCCCCACTCTAAACTTTTATATTCACTTCGTACACTGGGCTTTTCCCTGTCTTTAGTCATTACACCTACCAACTTATGAGTGCATACATTTTAATTTAAGGAAAAAGAGCTATGTTTACAGGCTTAAAGAGTGATTTGATATTATAGATGGTAACTTGAGTATATAACGTTATTTTCTAATTCATAATGTTTACTCTGCTTCACAGCCTTTACACGAGTTTAGCACTGCCAGTAAAGGATTTAATACTCTTGGCCTCACATCTTTCCAGCTAGAAGGGAACAATTTCCAAACAGACTATCTCTGCTGCAGGTTTCTTCATAACTGCTCATGTTTGTTAGAAATTTATGCCATTAACAAAATATATTACAAAACCAAACTGAGGAAGAAGTGCAGCCTTCCCAGTGTGCTCCGTAACCACATATAGGTCAGAGCATTAGGGAGAAAGTTGTTTTACACAGGGGGTTTATGGGTAGGTCTTGCTGTGTGGGAAAATCAGGTCAGACACAGTGTGTAAGTGCAGACTGAAGGGAAACGCAGCCCCTTCCCATGTAAGCCCCACCAAAAGCGCACACTCCCAACATGAATTACGAAAAACCTTTGTGCCTTCCCCACAGGTTATTGGTCTCCAGCTACGACTTCAGGGAACTTTATGTAATCTAATTCAAAGCAGATGGGTCATTTCCCATTAGGAAACAGCAGTTTAGCTATCCCCCTATACCATTCCATACATGTCTATATATAATACACCAAAGCCGTGGAGACAAGAGCACAGTGTGGGAATAGTTGCCCCGCAGAACTACTGCTGGACGAACATGAACTTCAGATGCTTTGCACTCATGGAAAAAAACATGAATTCCTTGGTAGATTAGGTCAGGATCCTCTAACCCACCATCTCCACCACACACGCACGCAGACAAACACACACCTCCACACTACTAACAGATGACATATGTGAAGTCAAACACATTGTTTCTAATTACTCTCTATAAAGTTCCTTTCTGCAGATTGGACCTCGTCCTCTGGAATTTATATGTCCTTGCACATCTAGGCATGGGGCCGAACACTAAAAGGGTCAAAGGTTACACAAATAGCTGCACTGTATAGGAAGAGTCAGTTTATTTTAAAAGGTGGAAGGGGTGGAAAACGTGTTGTTTTCCCTGGATATTAAAATTGATTATTATCCTGGAAAAAAAAAAGAAAAAAAAAATTATATGTTAAACAAATGCAATAAACAATTAGAAATTTTATGTTGTTAAAGGCTTAAAGGCAGAATGTCCAGGGCTTACCTAAAAAAAAAATGTATAGACTTATTAAAAAATAATCCCTCTCAATCATCACTTACAGTATGACACACTAGAAGTGCCTGTATTTTATTTTTATTTTGCTGTTCAGGACCCAAAAAACTTTTTTCCAGTCGGCTGCCATTAAATCATTGCAGAAGAAGGAGGCCAAATGAGATGGGGTAATTACCAGAGCTTTTTTGTTTTATGTACCATTTAAGGAAAGGTTAGGTTACAGCCTCCTCATATGTTTTCAGTTGAATGGAAGCTTCAGTGATCGTTTATGTTGAGTACATTATGATTTCGCTACATCATCTGTTTCCATTACATTTTGCTTTTATTGATACACTTTAACCAAGCATAAAAACCCATTTTACAATATTTAGATTTTTTTTATCCACTTAGGTTTTTCTAATGGGCAAAATGAAAATGCACATAATTATAGTTGTCTGAAAAAGCAGAGACATATTGCCAGACACTGACACAAACCTTCATAGACGCAATGGATGATTATAAAGGACATTTTCGGTGGGTTCACCTCCTTACCCTCATAATAAATGGTGTAAATAATAATGTTAAACAGTGGAAAATACACTCACTGTAAAATATGTGGCTCTAAAATCATCCTGATTTGCAGAAATCCACTCTCGTACTTTCTTTCTTATGTAACTCCATGAGAACAATCAACTAGTCAAATGTTATCATGGACCTGTTGACTTTTGTATTCCCGTGTGTAGAACAAAAGGTGGGTAAAGAGCCAGAAAATAAATGCGTGTCCATCAGTGTATTGTAACATGGGAAGTTAAAGATGTCAGACAAGTATAACATGCAAAAAGATACTTACACCCACCTTACAAGGGTCCAGTGTGTTTCCTCTAGTTCCTAGGTTCACAGGAAGTTCAGAATATTTCTGTCAGCGTGCCAAGATTTCCTCCTCAGGGGGGGCAGTCTTATTTACGGCAGAAGTAAGGAGAACCTGGGGGTGTTCCTGTTCATCTCTCCATGTATTCATCTGTCACCGTGCAACGGCATTTCAAGGGGGACTGGAAAGAGTAAGAAGGAAAGCTGAGAGGAAATGCTGGTGTTACTGGGCTTTGTGAAGAGGCACAGGGGAGGCTGAGTTTGTGGCGCTGCAAACACAATGAGATTGATTTTCCTTGCAATCCATCTGCCAAGGTCAGCATTTTGGGAAATCAAAACAAAAAACAGAGAACTACTTTGTCATCAGGGCTTGACATGAACACCCGCCGACTTGCTGTGTTACCCAGTGTGAAAAATTATAGTCTTTTCAACAGACATCTGAAATAACACACGAATTGCAATGTGACACTACGACACTGCAGCTCACATCAGTACTACCTGTACATAGCCTAGTGTTAGCTCAGTGGTCCATTCGTGAAGCCTGTCTTGACTGACAACACTGTAAACAAGAAGACGTTGTGGAGATTAAACTCACGGACTGGCGCACCGGCAGATTTTCCCTGTGGCTTGAAGGCTTTTTTGGCCTGCTGTTAATCATCAACTTGTCTAGCGGCAGCGATGGCAAAGCAAGCTTTTTTTAAAAGCAGCAGAATCCACGCAACAAGCACGTCTCACTCTCTCCTGCAGTGCCGCCGGTGCCAGTGTGCCCTAAATATGACATCCAGACTTTTGTCAAACGAGAATATTAAAGTTGAATCTGTCACAGGGCAGCCACTGTCCCTTAGGCCCCAGCCACACTACTGCGTTTTCAAATTAAAATGGATACCTTATGCTACGTTTGCACCTCCCATCCAGACTAAAATGACGAAAACGAAGACCTAAAACACTTGGAAAGTGCCGACCCCATTTTACGTTTTGAAACTCCAGAGGGCGTTTTAGTGAAGATGGGCCAAAACCACCGAGGCGGTGGTGAAGGATCTTGTTGTGAACTTCTATCGGACACACGAGATGCCACGATGCCTGAGGGCAATTGACTACACACATCGAAATTAAATAACCCTTAGCCAACTCAGACTACATCAACAGAAAGGGAAAACATTCTCTAAATGTACAAGCTTTGTGTGACCACCAGTATCGTTTCATGGATGTTGTTGGGAGTATCACGATGTGCGCAGATTTGCCAACTCGAAATTGTCTGCTGACCTAAAAAAAAAAAAAATGGGACAATACCCTTTCTGCCCCGCACCTCCGCTATCCGTTCAAACCATAGTCGGACTTGCCACCAGCAAGATTGCCCAGCAACATTGCTCAAAAAGTTGCCTCGTGTATCATCAGCTTTACCCTAGAAAGTTAGTGGAAGGTGAAGATTCTGTCCCTGTGTTTCTTCTGGGGGATCCAGCTTATCCCTTTATGCCGTACCTTATGAAGGAGTACCCCAACAGCGGAGTTACTCCACAGGAGCAGTATTACGGCCTCTCTTTGCAAGGCGCGCATGGTAATCGAATGTTCATTTGGACGTTTGAAGGCACGGTTTGCGGTGGACATAAACATGAAGGACCTTCCTTTTGTGATCTATGCTTGTTTTGTTCTGCACAATTATTGTGAAATGAACAATGAACCTGTTAACGAACAATGCATAAATGCTGCTCACCAGTACGACAGGGATTTCCATTCGCACATGAGAGATTTTAATGTGAGAGCAGAGAACAACGAAAATGAAGGGAAATGAGTGAGACGTGTGTTGATGACATTTCTTGACCCTTAACTAAAATGTTTATAATATGCACAGTTTAAAAAAAACAAGTTTCCCAGTACTGTGAAAGTATCCCTTTGTCTTTTGCTTTGACTGCCATGTGTTTTTTTAAAATGTTAACAAGGTTATTAAATGTAACCTAAAAGAAAAGATGTTACTGAATAAAAAGTACAATTCTTGCCTCTAATATTGAGTGTGTGAGTTTGTACACTGATGGAATAGATGTCGTCATCCCCACTCTCTGGTGTGTATACAGATATATATCTAAGTATCTCTGTAAATACAGTATATCTATGTACCTAGAGATATAGATAATGATGGATGAAAAAGACAGCAAATGCACAATGAAAAAGTTGTTTTAATGTCTTTATTTAAATCATTTCTACTGTGCAAACAACAAATTATTAACTACAACACCCAAATAAAACACACGTGCAAATATAAAATATATACATAAAAAAATATACACAAGGGCCAGAAACAAGAGCACTGCTTTTAACGTTTGCTGTACTAAAAAACATTTACAAATGTGTGTTGTCTCTGTGTTCTAGCCAATGTTTTGCCTACCATACATACCTTTAGTAATTTCGTTCTTATTGTGGGGGTACATTTTTCCCATTGCTGTGTTCCACCTCGTCGGTCCACGCAAAGAAATCACTGGTCTTTGACATTGCTAATCTTCACAGACAATCTGTTTCCTGTTTACACAGGCACGTGCATGCCCAGTGTAGCTGAATGGTCACGTGATCTGAGTTTTCAGTCATTTTAATGTTGAATGAAGATGAATTCTAATACACAGCTTAAACGCTGGTGTGGACGGGGCCTTAGACCTGTAGACCATAAGCCCCCCCGTCTGCTTTTAACGTGATGGTATGATCTATCGTCACAAGCGACTGGTCTTTGGTCACAGATCAGCACAGCGTTCAGGTAGTGCGTGAGTGTGCTGGGACTGAGAAAATGCAGAGGAGACCGAGAGAAAGACAAAAGACAGGAAGAAAGTGCCATTTAATGCTGTAAAATTACAGATATCTTAATGACTGAGGGACATGGTGGTGTTTAAAAAAAGAACACAAACTACTAGCAGGGCTGCCCTCATCTAACCCATCATATCATCTGTTTTAATAAAACTACTCATGCCATGAGCCAGTTTGTATGGGAAGTATCTGGAAAATAAAGACCTGTATACCTGTTTCAGGTGGACATATCGCCAGTTACTCAGAGCTACCAGAGTTTTGTGATGATAAACCAGTCAGAGTTCTGAGAAAATGCAGATGCAAAACAATCCAAAGTGGCCAAAACTGATATATATTTAAATCCTGCTGCCTTCATTATGGATTTTTTAGTCCAAGACCATCAAAAAGTGGTCTGAAGACTGGTCGAGTACTACAACACAATTTCGGCATGCTGGGTGCCATAAAAAAAAGTCACGTTCACGTGTAGTAAACTGATACGATCACTGTTAAACCATAACATGAGGACATTCAATGAAGGTGCTCTGTTTTCATAAAAAGTAACAGGCAATTATTTCACATCTTTTATTATATACACTTCTTAAAAGATACAGAGTTTGTGCTTACCTCAGTGGTGGGTATGGCCATAAGTGACGCCAATAAATCTACATTGTGCGTGAACGTAACCGTCCACTGCTTTCCAAGGTGTAAATGAAAACAGATAATAAACCGCAGAGTCTCACTGTGGTTTCCTGTTGGATAGAGGCCATGGTGGGACTGGCTTACACTAGGAGCTTTGGAGTCCTTGGGAGGACATTTGGTTTGTCCACTGCTTCTCTCAAAAACACACATGCTGCTATTAAGCTATGTGTGAGATGAGGCCCGTTCAGTTCAGTAGATTCCAGCAAATTAACTGACATGTAGAGGGAGAGGTTCCATGCAACAGAACAGCAGTGGAGTATTCAAAACCAATTACAAGGACAGCCATCAACATTCTACAGTATTTCTCCTATTTTTCAAATATTGGTCAGAACTGGCATGTGTATTTACTGCAGGTTAATTGTTCATTAAAATCTACTACTGAATAAATAAACACATGAGGAATCTTAACACAATTACCATTAAATGTATGTTAAAAATGGGAGCAGCTATTCAGCTTGTGTCCATACTTAATTTACAAACTATGCATAAACAGTTACCTCAATCTCTAACTGGTTAAAAACAGAACATCCCTATAAATGCTATCCTCCTAGCTCCTACTCCAATTGATAAATGAATCTGCAACTATAACCCTATCATACATGACACGTATATGGAAACAAATAAAATCCCATTTCATTGTCTTAAACCTACATCTCTAAACACCAAACACACTGACCCATCCAACCTTCTGCACATGGAGTGACCCAGGAATCCAGTGTCACAGGTCTGTATATTAAGGGCACATTTGCCACCTTCGCAAAACTAAGAAAGAAATGTAATGTCTCAAACAGACACTTTCAGACATTTACAGATTGGAGCAAGAGTTTCAGAGTGGCGAGTTATTAATCTGTAACAAAAGTATCTTTCATTCATAGTTTTAACTGAGCTCTGTCTCTACATCACAGGAACAACTTTATGTCCATTAACTGCCTGGGGGGTAGCTAGTGCTTGAAAGGGAGAGGAGAGGTTTGTGCTGCATCAAAGTGTTTTTCCACCGGTGTTTTTGAGGGCGTGCCGGACTAGCCGCTTGGCAAACGAGCTGTTTTCTGGCAGTTCAGAGCAGAGTTTTCTGTGGGAGATGGGAACTCCCTTTGGACTGGACTTTGGGTTTTCTCACTTTGCAAACCTATTACTTGCACGAAAATAAAAAAAGGTATATAACGCAATAAAGGAGAGGGAAAAAGCCAAAAAGCACAATACCACCTCTTTAATTGTGGATTTCTTCTTAGACATAAATAATTTGATCTTCTTTGCTCTTTGTTTCTAATTACAATATTTACTGCTGTTATAATTAAACAGTGTTTTTGATTGAATTGTTTTTTCAGTTTAGTTTTTATCAAATTAATCTTTTCCACCCATGCAGCACTTTTAGTATATACAATAAGAAGCTACTCTTTTAATAGACTACATGTTTTCATACCCTTTGTTAGTCATTGCTTCTTTCTGACTGATATAAAAATATCTGATGATATCTGAATTTAGCCTTACGATAAGCTGAATTTCTTAGAAATGCCATCTGTGTGCGAGGGAGTGCGTTTTAGCTATATCTTCCTTCTAAGAAAATAGGGCATGAAAAATGAGAACTGAAACCAGAGAGAATGTTCCAGTAGTTGAGGACTTAACACTCAAAATAAACTGTATATGTATGCAGGTCAGAACTGGCATGTGTATTTACTGCAGGTTAATTGTTCATTAAAACCTCCTACTGAATAAATAA